ACTACTAGGAGCAAGGACGCTACTAGGGGCTCCTGGCCTTACTACTACGAGCAACGACGCAACTAGGGGCTCCTGGCCTTTCTACTTACTAGGAGCAAGGACGCTACTAGGGGCTTCTGGCCTTCCTACTAGGAGCAAGGACGCTACTAGGGGCTCCTGGCCTTACTACTAGGAGCAAGGACACTACTAGGGGCTCCTGGCCTTGCTACTAGGAGCAAGGACGCTGCTAGGGGCTCCTGGCCTCACTACCAGAAGCGAGGACGCTACTAGGGGCTCCTGGCCTTACTAGGAGCAAGGACGCTACTAGGGGCTCCTGGCCATACTACTAGGAGCAAGGGCGCTACTAGGGGCTCCTGGCCTTACTACTAGGAGCAATGACGCTACTAGGGGCTCCTGGCCATACTACCAGGAGCAAGGACGCTACGAGGGGCTCCTGGCCTCACTACTAGGAGCAAGGACGCTACTAGGGGCTCCTAGGAGCAAGGACGCTACTAGGGGCTCCTGGCATCGGTACTAGGAGCAAGGACGCTAGTAGGGGCTCCTGGCATGGGTACTAGGAGCAAGGACGCTACTAGGGGCTCCTGGCATGGCTACTAGGAGCAAGGACGCTACTAGGGGCTCCTGGCTTTGCTACTAGGAGCAAGGACGCTACTAGGGTCTCCTGGCCTTACTACTAGGGAGCAAGGACGCTACTAGGAGCTCCTGGCCATACTACACTAGGAGCAAGGACGCTACTAGGGGCCCCTGGCCTTACCACTACGAGCAACGACGCTACTAGGCGCTCCTGGCCTTTCTACTAGGAGCAAGGACGCTACTAGGACGGTACTGGGGGCTCCTGGCCTTACTACAAGGAGCAAGGATGCTAGTAGGGGCTCCTGGCCTTACTACTAGCAGCAAGGACGCGACCAGGGGCTCCTGGCATGGCTACTAGGAGCAAGGACGCTACTAGGGGCTCCTGGCCTTACTACTAGGAGCAAGGACTCTACTAGGGGCTCCTGGCCTTACTACTAGGAGCAAGGACGCGACTAGGGGCTCCTGGCCTTGCTACTAGGAGCAAGGACGCTACTAGGGGCTCCTGTCATCGCTACTAGGAGCAAGGACGCTACTAGGGGCTCCTGGGCTTCCTACTAGGAGCAAGTAGCTACCGGCAACAAGAAGCTACTAGGAACAAGAGTTCATCCAAATAATCAATATCTCAAGTTCACCAATTCGTCAGGCGCTCCTGGGGCGGAGTGAGTCAGCCGCTTGGGCACAGCTCTTGAAGTGCCTGGCGAGTCCAGTCCCCTTGGGACGCCTTTCGCGGTGTGCAGGGCGCCAGGGTGCCGAGGCGAAGCTTTCATTTCAGCACCAGGTTTAGTCGCCGTTTTGCAATGTTTTACTCTTGTTTCGAGTGGAGTGTACGAGCGACCTTTAATGTGTGGTGATGCACTCCTTCCATTCACCAAATTCTTTGCTCAAGCGATTTTCCTCGGGTGGAGCTTGTCAACAAATCTTTGCATTTGGTGATTGAATGGACGGTGCAGGTGCTGGCTCAAATGGCTGTTGCGCTTGTGCAATGTGAAGGGGCTGCTGGCAGTGTGATGGAAGAGGTGCTGAAAGCTGAAATGGAGGCCGTTCGATGGGTGTGGATGGCATTCGGAGTCGAAGCTGGAATAGGCCTGGGTGTGGTAGTGTGGTATTTAGGATATTTTATCAGACTCTACTTCAACAGGAGTTTTGTTCCAGTTTCCAGCCCCAAGCCCAAGCTGTCCTTTAGCAAACTTTCACATCTCCATGAAGCCTGTTTTCGAAGTGCATCGCTGCATCGCTGGCCTGCATGCTACTTCTTCCGCCGGTTTCCGTGCTCAAGAAGCTGGAAAACATTGGAATCTTTAACGCTGGTGGCCAAATGCAAGTGGTGGTCGATGCAACTTCTTGGTGAATAGGTTGTCGCGGCGGTCTTGGAGAGGGTTGAGAATTCCAATGTCACGAAAGCTGGCCGCCAGGCGAAAGCTTGAATTGTCGTTTACCCAAGCTTGCTTGACAACCAGGGGTCTGGGGGGGGGGGGGCGGGGCCTCGGCGGGCTTGCAATCTCAAGATTTTGGGTGCGCACTCAATGTGCGCAAGGTGGGCCTTCTAAAGGATAATATGCCTGTGGAGAATTGAGGCATGCGTTCAAGCATTTCGACTTGCATATCGCTGTGGGCGCCAAAGCTAGGTGGCTGGCAATGGCTTGAATTGTGGTTTGCCTAAGCCTATTAGGCTAAAGCATGCAAATTAGCCGTCAGGCCAAACCTTGAGTTGTCGTTTGCCTAAGTTTGCTTAGCAACGGGGGATTTCGAGACTTGTTGGGATGTGGAAAGTGAGTGGGAAGGTCAGGGGAACGAGATTCGCCCTGGTTTGGACATTGCATGGCGACAATATCAAAGCAAGCGGCGTGGTAAAGCATCAACACTTGCGCCCGCTAAGCCACAAAAATGTACGCCCGACTGCAGTTGAGCCCTGCCGAGCGCGTGTGGCATCACTGCGCCACATGTGCTTTGGAGGGGATCTGGCGTGGGCTAGTAACTGGGCCTGCTAAAGCGTTAAAATTTGCGCTCAAAACGAAATGAGATTTGCACCGAAAATACAACACCCCGAAACACTGCCAGCATAGCCGCGGCTTCGCAGCGCTCCACTCAGAAGCTGCGAGAGGTCACAGCTTGACCTTGATCAGTTGCCGTGATTTTGTGAGCTTCCTGGAAAAGTCATACGGACGCAAGAGACAGACTTGGTAACAGTTGATCGCAGGTTTAGGATGGCTTAAGAGCTTCAAAGGCAATGACAGGTGACTCGTTATTACAAGCTGAGATTCTAGATGGATGCACGGTCCCAGACGAGTTGGTGTCGACATTTGTTTTGTCTCCAGCAGCAGCATTCTCCGAAGCAAAAAGAGTCCAATGAAAGGTCCCATGCTTCCTGGAATGCCCAACAGGTTCTTCATTCCGATCAGCCTTTGGAAGAAGGCAGACGCGGCTTTCAGCAGCTCTCGCAATCCCCTTGAAACTGCGAAATGAAAGAAAGAAAGGGAGATATGGAGAGAGGGTGCTTTTCTTGTTGAGGAGATGTCCTTTCTAATATGTCTTTCTCATGCCTTTGTGGTGTCTCAAATCAAGGATTGTTCAAAAGGACTGGTTTCTTCTCTTAGGAAAACCAGCTATGCACAACATTTGTATGTATGCGAACAACACAGTCCTCTTGCAACCACACACTATATAGAGATCACTAGAGTCTAGGATATTGGAAACATCATGGGTTCACCACAACGCCGCCAAAGATTTCTTGGTTACCCTTCTTCTCTATGGACAGGCAGTTTTATGTTTGCATTCTTGCTTGGCTTGTCTGCGAATGACCCCGACTGCGAGGCAGGGCCATGGGACCCTGAGGATCGCCTTGTGGAATGTCAACAAATCCATGTTCTCAGAGAGCATATTGTTGCAAGTGTTAGAAACACAAGTTAATGAGGTGGTGAGCAAACGCCTCGGCAAAGTGCAAGTCCTTCTAGCAGACTGCTCAAAGGGCAAGGGAAACAGCATGGAGTCAAAAAAGAAGTGTTAGATAATGTCAATAATGTCAGACAACCTTCCTTTGAACAATGTGTGAGTGACAATGTTTGAGGATAAAAACTGTTTCAATGCAAATCAATGCTAGCTGCTAGCAGCTAGCCTTCTCCTGTCCTCGAGGCTTGGGTGGCTGAGGCCATCTCAGAGAAGGCGATGGTGAGTCTTTTGACGTCCTTCCTGTGCTCGCTGCTTAATGAAATCAATAGGAACAAGAAGCTACTCGTACTAGGGGCTCTTGGCCTTACTACTAGGAACAAGGACGCTATATCCTAAAACTGGCGCCGCTACAATCTTATAGACACCGACACGAGGCAGGGTTCTTCGCGTTTTTGTACTTTCAAGGGTCTTACTAAGGCGCTAGGCGGTGTTGACCTGTCAGGCCATGAATCAAAAGGTGTCGCCGTTACCACTTTGCTGAATTTGGGTTTCTAATTCGTATTCTTTTTTGCTGAACATGGCGCCTTACCTGCCTTTTTCATTCTTTTCTCTCTTATGACGAGCTCTTTGACCCGCCCATCTGCAGACGCTGGATGCCCTCCGGCAGTTGCTGAGCCCAGATCGTGCGCGGCGCGCCAAGAACGGGCCTCGGACAAAGGAAACTCCCGCGCGGGAGTGTCTAACAGACTTGACCCGTGGGGACATCAAACTCAGATTACATCTCGAATCTCCAACTAGATTTGCATACTGATTGAACTCTAGCTGTAGAACCGTTGACATTTGATTCAGAGTTTGACCGTGTATGGTGTCAGAGGATGTTGCTACGATAGCTTCCGTCAAGCAAAGGAAGGACAATGACAGTGTTGTTCCCTATTGAGAGGAACTTGGTCTTATGAGCAGGCGTTAAACAATCACCTTTTGTATATATTATTTTTTGGCAACCCTTTCAACCACCAGGTCCTTGCGAAAGTTCAGCCGGGCGTTTGTGCAGCCAGAGCCATGTCCTTAGATGCCCTGGCAGGACTGGTAGCAAGCGGCCCACTAGTAGGTTGGAGGCCATCGCTACTTTGTTGGAGGCCATTGCCATGTCTTCTCTTTCTCATGCCCTTTTTCTTTAATTGTTGTTTCCTTTCTCTTTAGGTTGAAGGCCATCGCTAGTACCTTAAGGCCTCGATTCAACCAGGAAAGGTAGCCATTTGCTCTCATTCTCGCGATCACTGGCCCAGGATCTCAAAGACAAGGTCGCAGGATCAGCTGTGCCTCAGCGCGCTTAAACTGTGTTTTTCTGGACCTCTCCTACGAAAAACCTAGAGATGTATATAGATACAGTACTTATGGGTAGGATCACCCACCTTTGCTACACCCCACAGAACATCAGATTGGAATGAGTCTAAACCACAGATTCTGTCCGGAGACTCTTGGCAGAGCGTGATGTTTCGCTGATGAGTCGCCTCACTGACACAACAACCCAGTCAATCCCTTCAACAACCCAGTCGCATCACGGGCCCAATGAACCTCTGGCCAAGTCTTCATGACAGGCCTGTCCCAAGTGTGGCGGACTTCATCGGGGAGCTGGGGCAACCCAGAGTTGAATCATGCCACGCAAGGGCTGGAGGTGCTTTGGAGTCTCTAACTGTAGAATTGTTGGTTGTATATAGTTGATTTCCACACCTTTGTTTTTTCATAATTCTGTGCCTGTGATAAACCTTTTGAACCACAAAGGCCGGAAGAGGCTTTGCCGCAACTGTCGCCTGTTCCTTCACCCAGATCCACAACCCCTGCTGTGGCTCGGGAGCCTATTGCTTTTGATATTGATGATAATGACCATCAGAATTGTTTGTAGAATTCAGCCGCCTTATATAAATTGCGAAAAAAGTCCCACAGGACTCCATCAAGACACTTCAGGTCACAAGTTGTCCAAGAATCATGTTTAGCCCAACAATGTTCTTTTTGAGTGTTGTGCCAAGAGCTACTGAGGCATTTGCTTTGCCTGCCGGTAAGGAGGTTGCCGCTGGGCAGAGCATGTGCCTGGATTTTTCAGATTTCTATTCAGCTGTTTGGATCACATTCTTCGAAGCAAGAATGTTCTAGGAAGAGAATGCTGTGCAGAGTCAGAAAAGCATCCAAGCCAGGATGGTGTTATAATAACGTATGTAATATGCATATCTATCACGAAAGCCAGCCGATAGGCAAGGCTTGAGGTTGCTGGAGCGAACGAAGTGAGTAAAGGGGGTGTGGGGGGGGGTGGTTGCGTGGTGGCCAATTTCGGAGAGGTGAACCCAGAACCTGGTGGGGGAGAGTGACAAAAAGAGGCGGGCCACTTGGTAGTGAAAAATGAGTGTTGAGATGGTTTGAGGGGTGTTGTTTTAGCGGTGATGTAATTGACGGCGAAGAGTGCATCATCAGCATCACGAGTGGCTCAGGACGCCATGGAAAGAGAACAGATTGTAGTTGGGGCAGCTCAGCGTCGGACTGAAGAGGGCACTCCCTAATTATGCGGTGGGAGCTCAGGTGAATTGGGGGCTTGTTGAGGGCAGGAGAGAGAAGAGTGCACGATGCCATTTGTTGAGGGCCTGCGAGAGAACCGAGCTGAAGAGGGCACTCCCTATGTGGTGGTGTGGTGGGAGTTCACGTGGATTGGGGGGTTAGTCAGGAGAGAGAAGAGACTGCAGCGGGCAAGCGTTGGAGGCGGAAGGTCCTGAATAGCTTCGGGTTGCCCTCTTTTATTCGTAGCAAGGCCTAGTTGCTGGACTGAAAAGGGCACATGGGGTGCATGATGCCATCTG